CAATGTCCTGCATCTTGCACGCTTCCTCCGTGAATAAGCTTGGCGATATGAGATTTGACCACTTACAAATTGACATATAACAACATTTTAGGCGCCTTCATATGCCAGATGGCGTCCTTAGGACGAGCTTGGCTTCCTCTATATTACGGCTGATTTTGGGACCACGCTGCAGCAGCATATCACAGCCACCCTGATTACGGGGCACCAATAAAGGCTTTCAATGCGTGATACTTCCGATACGAGGCTGGCAGGATGTGCAGATGACGCCAGATGAATTAATGGTTACACTTAACCCTGGCAGTGACGGGTCTCACCCCATACTAGAGTGACGAGGGAGCGGGCGCACACAAGCCTTCCATCGGATATCTCAGTACAGAATAGTGATGCACAGATAAATGAATCATAGATTAGCCAATAAATGCAACTTATTGTATTCTGAACCAGTTCCATTCAGGCTGCTTGTCAAATTGACGTCGAAGTCATGTAAGCTATCGGCCAGTTTTTTAATTTGCTTGCAGCAGATTCACAGTTAAAGGGTGGTGTACCTTTTAGTGGAAAAGACTGTTTCAGAAAAAAAACAGTTTCTCTATTTAGTGAATAGTCTCCCCAGTACATCATTGTTTGATTGCGTCATGAAACGCTTGTGTGGCGTTGAGGTGCTGCCAAACCAGCCATGCAAGATTGCCCCCTATTACTCACTTGTAATACTTCAATTTCCCGAAATGTGGCCCTGGCGGTGCTTCAGGTGTTTTGCGGTACTCGCCGTTATGTTAATAAATATTTTCAAACATTTTCAAATCTGAAGCTGTCCCAGGAAAACATGACGATGTTTTATGTTGCGAGAAGCGAGCATCAGGCCTGTTCATAAAAATATATTTAGCGCGCACCCAGGTGTCCAGCTGAATACCCTTCGTTCAGTTGGAGGGGGGGGGGGAGGGGGGGGGGGAAAGGGGACAGTTAGACCCGCTCCTGACTTCTTTACTAACCTGACTACTAAGATAGCCAGATGCGACAAATTCACAGTGTGTTTTGGGCTGTACGTGAAATTAATCATGTCAAAATCTAGGGTTCCTAGGTCATAACCTTCAGGTCACATAAGGTGTAATAAGGTCAGCTTCAGGTTGGTGTCGTAAGTGCCCCCAGAACCTAAATATCTGTTCTGAGCAAAAGGTCACTGGTGCTCATTTAAGGTCAGTGACCTTTCTTGACCTTTCGAAGGTCATAGTGGCCAAAACCACACAAGAATGCTTTGAGTATTGCATTTGAGTAAACATTAAAAATTTCGCTACGCAGTATGTTCCTAAAAAAAATGCTGGCCTGGATCATTTCAGGTCAGTGATCTATTCTGATCTTTAAGAAGTCCATTAAGGATACATAATGCAGTTCCTATTATAAATAAGTTCGAAGAAAGCACCAGAAACTACCCGCGTAGTAAGCTCCAGAGTAATCATAAAACAGATTGGTGTTGACCCTCGTCTAACCTTCGTACCTGACTCTCGGTCAATGGCATTCGTTCTGTCAAGTATTGTGTGGCTTAAAAACTATCTAAAAAATGTATGGCTTCGTCTAATGCTACGCTGTTGGATCAGATTGACCATGCCCTACAGATTGTCTTCGCTGAATCCATAGCCTGATTTTGACCTGCCATGGGCCAGCGACCTGGTAAAGTGCATATCAATTATTGATGCCAAACAATCCGCTGTTGCATTGTCCGCCTCTAATGCGGCGCATCTCTTTCAATTCAAAAGACATCCTGACTGCATTTACGGCTGACGAGCCAGCCAAGCATGTCGTAAAATCGGTTACAATTGATAGAAGGGGACGTCAAAATGCAGCTTGGTCTGCAGTTCATTAAGTTGCAGTTACACTTAAAGAGAAAATTTATGGGATGGTGGCAAAGTCTTCTCTAGCCAATTACCCGCTTCCCATGTGATTCCGCCCATCCCCGCCCACTGCTCATTATCAGTTGCATCCGCCCGTTATCAGTCTGTTTACAGTTTCCCTGCTCTCAAGTTCTGAACTATGGAAAAGCTTCAAAAACGTTAACACCGGAACTTACACTTTTCCACCGACATTTACAAAATAATTGTGAATCGAGCTGATTAGGGCTAAAAGCTGCACAAGCAGCAGCGTAGAGCATTTCTTGTGTAGTGTCTATCTAATATTTCGTAAACGTATTGCCCTGCCCGTACACATACCCGTAATTCCCCCCAAAATATGCACCCATCCCAGCCCTTTACACGTTACATAAGATTAGCTATGGTTTACCCAACCCGTTAAATCCCTCAGTTGGCATACTCCGCCCGCCAGCTAAACAAACACGGCGCAAAAGGCCTATTTTCCAAAACCTATCATAATTTGCTTGAGCCGTCGCAAACATCAAGCGACCGAGATCTTTAAGGCCCAAGAGATCTCGGATTTTTCCAAGAGGAATGGTGTCTTTTAAAGTTACAAATCCTTAACAGCATTTCCAGTCCCTGCAAAGGTATCCGGGATGAAAAAGTCCACTTATCCTCGTAGGAGCTGAACAAGCAGGGGCCGCTTACCCCGCAATCCATTATTCATAATGCAGTAACAAAGCGTCAACTGAATCTCACATCGGCGGTATGGTTGCAAGCCCAACGAGTCTCTCATCCCCGTGTTATTCACAAACAAGCACCAAAAGTGGTGGTGTAAGTACAACACCAGTGCACCAGTGGTGTAGGTACAGCGGGCCGCCAGCCGGTGACGACTGGGCACCCCAGGCAACAGGGCACCACACTCGTTCTCGACAGCAATGGAGACGATGGCATCTGGCAACCACGGTGCTGGTCGGAACAGACTCTAGCTTGCGGTACGTACCAGCTTCTCCAGCTGCTTGTAGATGGTAGCGAAGTACGGCACGCCGACGGTTTCTGCGGACGACAGACACATCAAGTGAGCCGACCCGGTCGGAAAGAGTGCCATAAAGGTGTTTTTCAGCCTCGTGTAATCCGACATTGATCGGGCCTCTCAGCGGCGCGCCATTGATCTGAGGGGCAGATCTGATCCCTCCCCCCCGGTTATCTCAAGAACGGCCGAGAGCAAAATTCAAATTTCAAATGGCAGTCGGTAAGGCCGTGGCGGGCGGTCTCAGACCACACAACAAACTTGAGCGGCTTCCGCCGCCTCGTCACAGCGCCGCAGTGGCAGATCAAAGCCCCGCCGCCCGCTGCCGCCCGCTGTCCGGGCCCGCTCGGGCGCGGGGAATATACACTGCGGCGGATTTCAGGCCATCATTCAGCGTCGCTGTTACAGAAAACTGATTGAAACTTTGAACATCAATCGTCACACACCCACCCACACCCACCCACACCCACCCACCCACACCCACCCACCCACACCCACACCCACACCCACACACCCACCCACCCACCCACACCCACACCCACACCCAAACCCACACCCACACCCACACCCACACCCACACACCCACACCCACACCCACCCACACACCCACACCCACACCCACACCCACACCCACACCCACACCCACACCCACACCCACACCCACACCCACACACCCACACCCACCCACCCCCCACCCACACCCACACCCACACACACACACACACACACACACACACACACACACACACACACACACACACACACACACACACACACACACACACACACACACACACACACACACATACACACACACACAAACACACGTCTATCGTGGTCTATTTTCACGTCTATATAACGTCTATTTTCACTAATAGCATATCATTTTTTAAAATTTAGGGCTATAACAATACATGTAAAAGTCGGAATGCCAAGTGTGAGTTGCAGATGTATGCTAAGATGTACTTGTATATACGCTAAGTTAATAATGAAGGTCATCAGTTGGCAGCGTCCTTGGAACCAGGTAGAAACGTTCAAACTGACCAATTAATAGCTGTTTTTCGTGGGCAATCAGAATTTGCCTAAAAAAATAATTACATATGCTGCGATGTGCGTAACTGTTTGTTGATTATATACGGAACCAAAATCATGAATACAGATTCCGGCGATTTGTAAATAATAGTTTTGCTGAGTCGTACCGGCCAGGTCTAAATTCAGCGTTTGAAAAGCTCTGATGAGCTGGCAGATTGGGTTCCAGACGGCCGGGCAGGACCTTACTGAATCCCAAAGAACACAATCCGCTAATCGCTCTCTACCCGATGCAACCCATTGCCTTGGAATCTCCGTGAAGTGCTCTCTCTACCCGATACAACCCATCGCCATGGAAGCTCCGCGAAGTGCTTTCTCCACTCGATACAACTCATCGCCATGGAAGCACCAAGTCCTGCACGCAAAATTTGGCAAATGCGTTGCAGAACGGCGTCAGCGGAAGAGCAATCTTTCTAATCATTTTTGTTTGGGTTATTTTCAGCCTGCATGACAAACATTTAATCCCAACCACTTAGAATGCTACGCTTGGTGGAATTCCATTCTCTGTAATACGGATTTACTCCGAATGAGTTGCATTTAGACTTCGGGGCGCAGGACAACGATAGGAGAACAGCAGAAGACCGGAAGAAGAAAAGATGCACGTAGGTAGCGCATTTACGTCTCAACGAATACCGCTTTATCCTGGTTTTTCACAAGAGCATCGTGGAGCGGCACCTCTGCGACAAAGGCCACTATCAGGTGGATTAGCACTCAGCTAGAATATACAAATCCTGCGGCTTGTTATCTCAATACGCATACTTCAATAAGAGTGCCTCTGAAAGTGTCATTGCATCACAGAGTTACGTGGGCAAAGTAATCGGGGTTATTTCGTTGTCATGTCGGTGTATGCTTCTGAGGAGCCAAACAAAATTACTGGTGTCAGGTGGGTGCTGTAAACAGCGACCAAAGGCGTTTACAGACACTTCGCGTGAAAAATGTAGCCGTGCTAAGTATTCCCTGCCGTCTAACATTGCAAACGGATGGCATTCCTGCACACCTCACCGACCCCCGAGTCTGCTATTGGGCCGTGCACTCACTGCATAAACAGCTGGTTGTGGTGGTTGTGGCCGTGGAAGCAGTGACAGCTGACCTCATTCACTAGCCTGATGAGGGCCTGCAGCACGGCCGAGTCTTCGCCGCTGGGGTCCAGCTGCAGGTGGTCGCGCAGCCGCGAGTACCTGCCGGTCGGAGGGCAAAGGTCGGCCGCGCCGGAAGCGGCTGACATCCGGCCACGCCTCCAGAGCGCACCCGCCGCAGGGAAGTCGTGCGCGCGACCGCCTCCCGAGACGGCCAGTTTGATTGTTCTTCGAGATGGAGGGCAGGCCGGACACGGGGCAGACCAGGGACGGTGATGGCACACGTGGGCCGCACGGGAAGGCTAGCCCATGGCATGGCCGCCGGATAAGGACCAGAACAAGGAAACTCGATAATTTACAGTCGATGCTTTCCGTGCCGTTTTCATACAGTTCATGTTTAGCTCCACCAAATAGCGAGGCAGTGCCCCTATATTTAGCAATGCCGTTCGATGCCAGAGGATGAAGAACTTTGCCAGAAGACGATATACGGCATCGACATATGGTGTTTACCAGTCTCCCATTCGCACGACGTCTTTCCAAGAAATGTCCCAAAAATGTAACTATTGACTGGTATATGCTGGGACTAGAAAACTTCTTTCACAAGCATGATTTGGAAGTATGGTCTTCCGCCCATTGTAGAGAGGCGAAATTAAGACTGGGGGTAGGTGTAATCCCCCAACTCGTTGGTCGTATTGCAAATGCAATCAATTGAATACACCGCAGGCACGTGCTCAGGGGCGATGATGATCACGACTAGTCGAAAGTAAAATCACCAGCGTATCTGCTTGTGAAAACCTTAGTTCTGCAGCTACTCAGCCAGGCTAAAGTCCGGCCCTCTTCGTTCTGACGCCACGCCTTGCACGCGGAACTAGTTTGACACTCTTTCGCGGCTTGTGTTTTCATGCAAATGGAGGGCTGCTACTTGGTCCGTGAAATGGTCGTTGATGGTCCAAGTTCTGGGGTACCCCTGAGTTTCTGTGAGCCTTGAACCGATGTGTGCGCCAAAATCTTATGAGTTATCAGTAGTTGGCGAAAGGCGAAACGTTGCTTCAAAACATATATTCATCCTGAAGAGGGACTGTTGTTCACGAGTGTATGAAGCCGTTTAACACGGCAAGAGTGATTCAAACTGCTCGGGACACTAATTGAACGTGCTCAGGGTGGTTTAAGCCCTAGCTATTGACGTTCCGTATTTTAAAGACAAGAAAGCATGCTTCCATTTCCTTTGTCTCACTTCAAACAAATCACTTGTAGATTGAAACAACTGACCACCAGTAGTTGTTCAACTATGCCCACTTTTGTCAAAGCTGGTACAACATTTTTTAGTTGTCAATGACACACCGTCTTTCTTTCTCTTCCCCTTCTTTAGCAAAACCGTCCGCAACGTTCATTTCTGCCCTCACCTTTCTTGGACCGGTAAACAGCAGGTCCTTTACTTTCCCCTCTGCTTCCCTGAGAGACGTCTGCAGTGGAACTTACAGCCCCCCTCTCTCTCAGCACTTGGGACCGCCCCTGCAGCCGTCGCTTCCCTGATAGATCTCTGCAATGGACCTTACAGCCCCCTCCCCCCTCTCTCAGTACTTGGGACCACCGCTTCCCTGAGAAACCTCTGCAGTGGACCTTACATCCCCCTCTCTCAGTACTTGGGACCGCCCCTGCAGCCATCACTTCCCTGAGAGATCGCTGCAGTAGACCTTACAGCCCCTCTCTCTCAGTTCTTGGGACCGCCCCTGCAGCCGTCGCTTTCCTGAGAGACCTCTGCAGTGGACCTTACAGCCCTCCCCCTCTCTCACTCCTTGGGACCGCCCCTGCAGCCGTACGTGCACGCAATGATGGCGCACCAGCCCACCGGGAGGGGGGGGGGGGGGGGGGGGGGGGGTGGGGGGCACACCCAGGCCGAACACCTCCCAAGTCCAGTTTCTCATTGCCTTACGACCCGAGCTCCGCCCACTAAGGCGGTGTCATAGATGCACGCCAATGGGGACGCCTTTAGTTCCAAATATGGGCACGAGTAGAATCAGTTGATCCAACCCCATGGGGACATAAGACGCGCGGGAACCGCGCACTCGAATATTATTCGAATAACAGTTATTGGCAAGTGATCTATAACTAAATACATCATCACTGGTCACACTACCCACACGAGATTGGGACCTGCCTGTTTACCGGGCACACAAGGCCATCAACAGCGCATCGACCGTTGCTATGCGTTGCTAGGACAGCATCGACGGCTTATTTGTAAACAAACGCACTTACCTCGCCTCTCGGCCGAGCAGGGAATGGGCTTGGGTCGTGACGTCTTGGGCAAGGAATGGGCCTAACCCGAAGCAAGGAATGGGCTTCCATTGGCACATGAACAACGGGACTCCGGTTACAGCGATTCAAAACAAAAAAAATATCACAAGGGAAGCAGTTAAAATGCAAAAGTTGTTTGATAGACGTAAGACATTATCAAAGCCGGCAGGTTAAACAAGTCAGGGAGTTTTGATTTACCATAAGCTCTGTACCACTGCCGACAATGAGACGCTGGCCGTTCGCCCATCGTTTCTGCTCGGACCAGCGTGCTCGTAATTTTTGGAACGGAGCAACTACTGGGACAGAGCAAGTATAAGGACAAGGCAGCATTCGAAGAACACAATATTCAAAATGAAACAAGTGTTGTAAAACAAATACGGCAACAAAACAAGAATCGCAGCACATAGAGACCTACATTCGAAAAACCCGTTTATCCTAACACGACAGGCATTGGCATTGAACAAGTTTCATGACAAAACAAGCGTGGCAACATAAAAAGAGACTCAGAACAAAACGAGAAAAAAGCATCCACCAAACCAATACAGAGGCCTTCCATCCCAGCACCGAGGAGAGCGCGGCCAGCGGCAGCCCCGCTGCTGCCGCGGAGGCGCGCCTGGCCGTAGGGTGCGACCGGCCGTGGGGTGCGGCCGGCCGTGGGGTGCGACCGGCCGTGGGGTGCGGCCGGCCGTGGGGTGCGACCGGCCGTGGGGTACGTCCGGCCGTGGGGTGCGTCCGGCCGTGGGGTACGTCCGGCCGTGGGGTACGTCCGGCCGTGGGGTACGTCCGGCCGTGGGGTACGTCCGGCCGTGGGGTACGTCCGGCCGTGGGGTACGTCCGGCCGTGGGGTGCGACTGGCCGTGGGGTACGTCCGGCCGTGGGGTACGTCCGGCCGTGGGGTGCGACTGGCCGTGGGGTACGCCCGGTCGTGGGGTACGTCCGGCCGTGGGGTGCGACTGGCCGTGGGGTACGCCCGGCCGCCCAGCGTCGCTCACCACTCGACACAGCCCTTCTTCACCGTCTGGCTGATCTCGGTGCGGATCTCGCGCTGAAACGGCAGCACGCGCCGGAAGATCTCCATGCCGGAGAGAGCGGCCAGGAACCTGTCGGACAGCGCTCTCAGAGGGAGGCCATGGAAGGGTTTATTCTTGCACTCGGAGGGAGGCACTGTGTTATTAATGAGATGTGGAGCGCGCACCACCGCCGGGGGCTATATGTCAGCCGAGGAAGGGAAAGAGAGAGAAAGAGAGCCACTTCCAGGAACTTAGAAAGGGCCACTCCTAGGGACACTTCGAAACAGCCAGCCAGAGAGGAGGCAGTGGAAAAGAGGCAGTTGGAGGTACGAAATCACAGAAGAACACACTCAAAAAAGGCACCCAGAAATGAATGCAGTGAGGGACGCTTGGTGACGAAAATTCTGAACGGAGTATCTGAAGAAGAATGCTCAGAGAGGGGCACCAAGGCATGACGACACAGAGGGGGACCATGGCAACCGCCAGTCACAGGAACCACTGAACAGATGAATCCTCTGAAAATGCCACCCAGAGAGTGGCACTCGGAGCTGGTGCTCAGAGGGGAGCACTTTTAAATGACCTTAATCCATGGTGTTGGCGAAACACTTGGTAATATATCGGGCACGTGATTGGATAAAAAAGCAGCTCGAACAGCTCAGGCGAAGTATTAACTAACGCATTACGCGCCTCGAACTTCCACTGTAACAACACCAGCAATATTTCAGACACATTCTATTTCCGTCACCTTGTTTATAAATTATCGATACTGGTGACTATCACAACTCTGGCGGTCGATGCCACCCCCTCCCCCCTCGCTGCCCCCAGCCTCTCTCGGAGAGCGTGTGGGCTAGCCAGAGGCATCCAACATGCGAGCTAAATGTGAGCTGAATTCTAGATGCCGGCAGTTTACCTACAAAACCCTAGTCTAACAAGGACAAGTCATTGTTTTCCCCATCGTATTGTGCTCGTGGCCCCAGCCAGCTGACCTGCATGGCGCATCCCCACACCCCACGACTTCCCATCGCCAGAATATGGGCGGGCGGGAGAGCCGCCAAGCACCGAACATGCACTTGAACTAGAGTGAAACCCAAGTTACACACATTCCGCAAGCGTTCACGTGGCACGTCGTAACCCAAACACTGCCTCATCTCTTACTTTCCTAACCTGGGGAAATATTGTGGCATATTGGTTACAAAGAGCGACAAATCTGTAGAGCCACGATCGAGCGGAAACAACTAGGAGTTGCTTTTCATTACCTGGAGAGGCTCTGAAATTGCGACGCACTGCATTTTAGTCTGCAAGAGGATTGCGCTCACAAAACATCCTGAGCGCCTTACTTTGATGCTTTCATATCAAGATGCTTCGACCGGTGATAAACTAATGCATACATTATTATGTAGTGCGTTGCCTTTACACAGTAACAGAGGCTCTCTTGTAAAGGAATGCTTAAGACATCTTCCAAATGAACGACGCACCTCCGTTCTGCTTTGATGAGAGGTCGTCCAAATAGGTACTCACTTGAGAAGACCGTCGAGTTTTCTGTGGGCCTCCTTGTTTCCTGCAGGAAAAAGCTTCTTTTGCTTTCTCAGGATGGAAAAGCTGTGGCCCAGAAAGCTCTTGAAGGATTCGGCTAATGACTCTTGCTGAAAATGAAACAAATCTGCACTGCACTGCAAACGCATGCTTGAAGTCAGAGGACTTTACGTGTTGGGTAGACTCGTAAACACCTATGCAGAATATGAAACGGGCTGGTTTGGGTATAGCTTTTGGGAAAAATACGAGCATGGACATGAATAGTACGTTCGGAAAATCACAGTTAGACACTTCAAGACATACTGCACAACGTCGCTTCCTGTGTTTTTTTTTAAAAGTAAATATTAGCTACATGCCCACGACCCTGGCAACGATCATTGAAAAGGTAACTTTTATTGTAAACTTTCCTGAAACTCTGTGATGATTTAAAATTTAAGCGCCGGAAAAATGAAAACGAGTGGATAGCAGGTGGATGCAACGGATTAGAGTTAAAATCAGTAAGTTGTTCAATGCATTAGCGAGGAACATTTTTCACATAGATAAAACAGTAGCATTAGCCTCATTCCTCGGATGAAAACCAAAAACCGCTGTGGGCCTCCTTTATCTCTATTCTCTTGGTTTTTATCCGAGGAATGACGCTAATACTACCGTCTTATCGACTAGAATTGAATAGCAAGAGGGTATGGGCACAGCCCCACTGCTGTCGGAGGCATGGGTAAAGAAAATACTGCCCTTCAATATCTCTGCTCATTAAAGTATCTAGCTCGTCGGCGCATAATGCTGCTGAATGTTTTACTTCTTTACTTCACCCCTAGACCTCAACACTTTCAGTTCTGACACGCTCACATAGACGGCAACGGCCGCGCTAAAGGTCAGGTAATGCCAGAGAGCGGGTAATGCCAGAGGGCAGGTAATGCCAGAGGGCAGGTAATGCCAGACTGCAGGTAATGCCAGACGGCAGGTAATGCCAGAAAGCAGGTAATGCCAGAGGGCAGGTAATGCCAGACGGCAGATAATGCCAGAAAGCAGGTAATGCCAGAGGGCAGGTAATGCCAGACGGCAGGTAATGCCAGAGGGCTGATAATGCCAGAGGGCAGGTAATGCCAGAAGGCTGGTAATGCCATAGGGCAGGTAATGGCAGACGACAGGTTGACCGAGCCGAGCAGTTTGGCACGTCAGGTTTTCACCGCCAAACTCCGCTGTTGACCCAGCAGTTAACGATCGTGTGGTGGGGTCAGGGCTCACACAACAAGCACTAATTAACGTGGCGCTTATCCAAGCAATACAACCGATTAGAACGCTCGGAGTAAATCTTTTATAATTCACGGCTGCCATCATCATAACGTACTACAATTTGGCGCATCCCATTGGTACAAGAAAACTGTCCTAACATAACAAATTCAGAGAGCAGTATCCGCATCTTCAGACCTCCGCAGTTCCTTCTGACCGACGTAGCTGTGTTAAGACAGTCCATCTATCAATAATGATATCCCTTCTTTAGAAAAAACTGAAGTTACCAGCGGGCTAGAAAGCCTCAGCAGCGGACCGAACAACTTACGCAGATTCCCATTGAGTAGGACAAAATAGCATTGTATGAAGGATTTGAAAGCAAACAGAGCAATAGCAAATGCAGCATTTCCCCGCGGTTTTTCTTGCCTCCTTTTTAAGGATGCATGCGTGCGTGAATCCAGATATGTGCTTAGCCTTAGTCTGCCCGGCCACCTGGGATGATATTAATATTCATGCCAAGTCCCAAACTATTCGCCCCTAAATACGAGGAAGTTTGTCAACTTTCCAGCCTTTGGCATTCGAAACAAAACTTTGCCACTATGACCTGACCCTCGCCCCCGCTGGCCGGCACGGGCAGCGTGCCATCACATTATTACAGCAAAGTTAATATGGATATCTCACAGCCTACCTGCGCTGCAATGTAAGGACAGCCAAATTGATCAGCCTATCCACTAACAAATATAACGTAAAGAATCATTTCTCAATAATGGACGGAGCCGGGAACTACCGGGGTAAAAAGAGCGGGAGAACGAGGAGTAAGTCGTTATCAGCGTATCAGTGGCATGTAGCCAGCTGCGCGAGTCCGAACCACCATGGCATGTAGCCAGCTGCGCGAGTCCGAAACCACCATCGCATGTAGCCAGCTGCGCGAGTCCGAACCACCATGGCATGTAGCCAGCTGCGCGAGTCCGAACCACCATGGAAACACGTAGTCGCATTGTTTTAATGCAACGAAAAGCTACATGCCACGAGAGGCCGTGTCATGCTGCTGTCTGCACATGGAAAGCTGTAATAAGGCTCATAATGACCGGCCAAATAACCGTGTCGGTGTCAGTCATACATTTAATGCTGTCTGACTGTTATCAGTATCTGCAAGTTCCTGGTTGATGTGCACTGGACCAGTGTATATAAAGACAGAATTTCGCATGCTAGGAGCTACGAAGCGTAACAAACCTGCGCTTTAGATATATTTTTAACTTTTGCTCGCGGGTGTTTTAGGAATGCAGCCATGATTTATTTTAACCTTGATTATTATCAAATAATGATTGCGTCGATTTAAGGATGATCGGCGTTTTTGGCGAGGAAAAACACCCGGCGATAAGTTGATCCATGCATCATAATTTGAATAAGCCGATAGCAATGCAAAGTTTTAATATTTTTGATACCGTATAAGTATGGAATATGTCGTGCGTCACCAACAAAGCTCCCGAAATACTGCACAAGTAGCCATTTCGTCAAAGATGAACGGACATATTTGTGCGTTAACAAAAGTGTCTATTTATTGCCTCTGGCTGCAGAAGCGCGGAGCAAGTTCTCTTCACGAATTGTCTAGATCCACCAATTACACATTGTTCGGCGGGTTGAGCTGAACGAAACCTGTCGGTCTTGGTAGCAGCTGGTTAGAAATGAATGAATTAGTCGTTAGTTACGTTTCCTGACCGTTCAGTGAGGGTTTCGTGTCACATAAAATTAAAATCAAAGTCGCCCTTCTTAGACAGAGAGCCTAATGAGCTTGCAAACTTTCTTGATCGGCTTTTGGTGCGCTGCCAAGCGAAAGTTTAATTGCTTCGTCGAAGGGCAACACGAAGCACTGCGAGCTCGCCTGTCGCCGGCTAGGCTCTGGCAATTCGGCAGCTCGTCTTCGCTGCCGCCCACATATTTAACAACAGGGTTTGTCCAAATGCGATTTGCGGTTGTGTGCAATTTTGGTTGCAGTACACGAACAGAAAGGTATGGGAGGGGGGGGGGGTGGCTCCAGAATGACAGAAGATCACATCGCGCGAGCGAAGCACGCCAGTAAGGCTTGTAACGATCAAGGTATGCAGCTGCCACACTGATTACCGTCATGTGTGACTAAGTAACGAGCATATCCATACCGCGTTGCCATTGAGATTGCTATTGATGCTGAACGAACAAACTGAAGTAAAAAGACTCTGTTTGATGCGTTTTACGTTGATCTGTTTTGTCAAAAATTATGGAAGCATCAAGCGCTGATTCTCGCAAGGCATACATTATCAGTACCTTGAAACATGTGAACTTCCTCCAAGAGCCAGAATACATTCACGGCGTTAGCTTCAAAGAGAAAATGGAAAGAGAGTAGAGCAAGGAGATGGAAGAGGGACATGATGATGACGTGAGGAAGAGACAGAGCCCTTGCATCTCGGTCCCGGTTCATCTGCATGACGCGGGGTCGTACGGGCGTGTGTGATGTGTGCTCAGTGCCTCACCTCCTCGTAGGTGAGTGCGTCCGTCGGTGAACTTGTCGTTGAGCTGCTTCAGGATCTTGAGCAGCAGACGGTAGTCTGAGCGCCGACTCCTGGTGCTGCTCAGCGTACGCGATCCACCGACACACCTGTCGTAAACGCCACGCTCACAGTCGGCTGCATAACGCCACGCTCACAGTCGGCTGCATAACGCCGCGCTCACAGCTGGCTGCATAACGCCACGCTCACAGTCGGCTGCATAACGCCACGCTTACAGTCGGCTGCATAACGCCGCCACGCTCACAGTCGGCTGCATAACGCCACGCTCACAGCTGGCTGCATAACGCCACGCTCACAGTCGGCCGCGAAACGCCAAGCAAGATATGTCATCGATGGGTAATTAGTTTTGGTATTGGTCACAGGGTTTGAATCATATAATCATAAAACTGCAATGCGCGCGGAATACGCCCACCAAAATTTTGCAACACACACGTAGAAACCTTTTACATTTCTTCCACATCCACATCGCTATATTTTGTCCAGCTTCTTTTCTTGATCTTGATGTTTCACTTTAAACCTGTGCCTGTGCAGCCCGTTGTGACCTTGTGAGACTGCGGTCTGGGCTCCATGAGACCACGCTCCCATCCCTGTAAGATTGCTGTCACGGCCTGCTGCAGCTCCGTGATGTCGTTTTCCCATCGCTGCGAGACTGTACTCACGGCCTGCTGTAGCTCCTTGATATCGTTCTCCCATCGCTGTGAGACTACTCACGGCCTGCTGCAGCTCCGTGAGGTCGCCCTGCACCGCGTGCTGGTGCAGGATGGTGGTGGCCACGGTCGGCAGGTCTCCGCTCCACTTGTAGGACGGGCCCTCGCGGCGGCAGAGGCGACACGTCAGGACGCACGAACGTGCAGCAGTCTGGCACGTCCTAACTCACGGGCCCAATATAGACCGGCTGAGGTCGTCACCAGGTCGGCCGCCGGGCGAGCGCGGTGTAACACGGCGGTTGAGCGAGTCTGGAGATTGGCTGGAGCGCTTTGGAGACAGCGGCTGGCAATTACTGGCAGAGGCACACCGCGCGTCTCACGCTCCTGCATAAGTCGAGCGCGACGACGCGTGAGCCTCCTTAAGCACAGGTTTTCTCATGAGCTGAGACAATCTCTCGGTAACGTTGGTGTCGGAACGGCACGGGGCTGAAGGGTGATATTGGCGAGGTGCACTCGGCTGGAAGGAGGATTGCAATCTGGTTCCGATCGATGACAAGAATGGCCTTTTCACCCCACCACACCCTTGGTTACGAGTCAAGACAGCTTCGAGAGTCGTCGAATGGGGCACAGCAATGCTGCCCATCCTGAGCATTACTCATGGCAAACGAGCGCTCATTGCAAACGAGCACCTCGCCGAAACTATTTACCAACTGTCTTAAAAAGAGGAGTCAACAGCCAAAGAGTCAACGAATAATTCCAACGAGGGCATCAGCTGACAACAGGAAAATTGTCAGACGTACAACAGAAAGCTGATACTCGTCGCTATTGCAGGCTTTCGATTTGAACACGACCTTCCAATTATTACCCTGAACTTGGAAAGTTCATGCTTCACGAACACCTCGATCATTTTCTGCTGTTGAATCACTTCCGACCATGTGTCTTCCTCAGAAAGTCCTCTGAAACAAAGCGAACTAAATCAGTACTTATGTGACACCCTGCTTTGCCCACGTCGTGATAATCTCCGTATGAAACTGACAACAAAGCATTGGATGTGTGGTGCCAGAGCACTAGGTTCAAACCATCGAGACGTGCAAATGCACTGTAACAGACTTTGGGCAGCTTGTCGTCGTCAGCCCTTCCCAAGAGCGAGGCAAATACACATTTTGTCATTCTCCACACCAGTGTCCACGGACGCAACCAACACAAATCTTGCGACTTCATGTCGAACGAGACTATGAGCACACACGGTAAAATACGGATCGCCCTCTATACTGCTCTCAAACGGAAACAGTCATGATCGCGTGCTTTCAGCTGGCTTCCCGAGCTAGTTGGATCATGCTCACTTTTACCCTCAAGAGCTATCTGAGGCCTTTCTAGCCCACTTGTTTTCACCAACAAGTTGAAGCCATGGTTCTCAACCTGTTGTCATGAGTTGCGTTGGGCCCACGCCTTCTCACATCTTCACAACAGGGAGTTACCTTGCTTTCTCATCTGTTTTCAAAAATGAGTTGAGGTCATTTTCTCTGATCTGTTATCACAAGGGAGTTTCCCAGCAAGCAATTTCGGTCAGAACCCAATCGAGATATCCTGGACGTGGCCCAACCTTCCGGTTGGGGATGCTCAAGATCAGCTCCGAAAGTTAGACACTGAGGTCGGGATTCCACTCGCTCTGGAACGCTTCCTGGGAGTCCCCAAGCGGGGAGCGTTCCCCGAGCCACCTAAACATCGAAAAATGACTTCCACAAACATATCGAAATCTGACGGTCGGGGACGTTCAGAGAAAATCCAAGCTTTCCCAAGCGATGGGCGATGGCAGGTTCTCAAAGGATGAAAGCTCGGGAAATCCCAAGCATTTCCCAATGTGGTTATGGAAACTTGGGATTTCGCAACCTTTTCCCAACCTTCCCAAACCTTTCCCCAAGGAACTGGCTGACTTGGTAGCAACTTGCTTTTTCGAGACCACACTTTCCGATCTCTTCTCCAGGGTACATCTTAAGTATTCTCTTACATTTTTTGACGAATAAGGTAAGACAGTCCTGTATTATTCATTTTCATGAGTAGGCTGAGACCTGTTTCTTTAATCTGCTCTCCCCAATTAGCCAAGACCGCGCTTTCTCACCTGTTCTCGCGAGCAAGTTCAGACCGTCGATGCCCCCCTCTCTTTCTCTTTCCGTCTCTCTTCTGTTCTGGGTAAGCTTAGGCCTAGGTTTTTCAGCTGTCCTCGCGAGTGAGTTGAGACCGCGTTCTCTGACCTGTCCTCGCGAGTGAGTTGAGACCACATTCTCTGACCTGTCCTCGCGAGTGAGTTGAGACCACATTCTCTGACCACATACACCTCGCTAGTGAGTTGAGACCACGTTCTCTGACCTGTCCTGGCGAGTAAGCTGAGACCACATTCTCTGACCTGTCCTCACGGGTTGAAAGCCACATCTTGAGGCGGATCCGGCCCTGGACAGCGGACTTGGCCGTGCGACCTTCCAGTGTGAACCACTGGTCCAGGCCGGTGGACGGAATATCCTGCCGGAAGGACGGAATGACGGTCACGGAACGCCCCCGTCACACGAGGCGCACGGACGCCAGGAGACAAACATACATCAGCGCTGGAAATTCAGCTGTTGGAGGTGGACTAGACACAAAGCGTGTCCTAATGTGCAGAGAAATGGAGACATCACACAAGTTGTGTGTTATTTTCGAAGGGTTTACGCGTGTGACGCTGTACTATCGTTAAAACAATGAAGCCCAATTACTGGCCGCTTGTTTTTCAGAATAATCTGTACTGAAGTGGCCATTTTGGTACCGAATGACTGCTCCTAAGCGAGTGCCGACTATCTTACAGGTTAACTCAAACGAATCCTGCAAGTTGGAGACTTATCCGGATTTCTGAACGGTCCAAGCAAAGTGACGAAAGCAATGTCACAAAGACAAAAATGGGAGTTTCAACACCAACAAATTGACGTGGTTTGATCATGTCTGGAAAATCGCAACACGCCACATGTAAGGGCTAGAGGAGGTCGGTGGTCTAATTCATTACACCGCTACACATCCATACATCTTCACATATCACACAGGCGCATCCGGTGCCGATCAAGAGGGACAGCTCACCGCGTATTATTTTCCCTCTTTCAGAAATTCAAGAAATTATAACTGAAGTATACCATTCATAGCATTTACATTTCGATATATGACCTCAACTGAAATACCAAGAGCCAAGCTAGGAGAAAGAACAGGAGGGGAAGTAAACAGAGGAGAGAACAAAAACCAGTGAGCAGAGGAGGGAGTAGGGTACAAAGACCAGTGAGCAGAGGAGGGAGCAGGGAACAAAGACCAGTGAGCAGAGGGGGATCAGGGAACAAAGGACAGTGAGCAGAGGAGAGAGCAGGGAACAGAGGACGGTGAGCAGCGGAGGAGAAATGTAAATACCAAGGAAGGAGCGCGAGCTTTCCACCCTGTCGAATAAAATCGGTTTGTGCATCCTCCGGATCAATCCATTCTTTGAATGATGCATTTTGAATACAACCTGTCCTTCTGAACTGACTGACTCCCTCCGCTGTTTACCTGCTTTAGCCTCAAGCGTTGTTTCAGGGATTGCCACGCGCCCTTTAGGTACATATGCATGCGTCGATCGCAAGTTTGCAAACTCAAGTGTCTAAAAAGTCAGGTTTAGCCGTTCCTAAACGCACAAAACACCACCGTGCAGACGAAGCTCATCTCTCACGCTGAACGAGCTGTCTTTAACACAGATATTATAGCTGTAAACGGCGCCTACTCCGAGGTCCTAGCAACAGTAGTGTAGCGCTAGTCGAAATTCTCCGACAGGCGTCCGGAAATGGTTTATGACTTGTTGTGGCGCCGGATTTTGCGCCACTCACCGAGAAGAGCTGAAGCTCAAGTTTGGAAAGTTGCTCGTGCTCTGGTGTTATGCTAAATCCACCACTCTGGACACAACCGTCGAGGCTTTCGGTAA